GTTGAGAAACTAATTGATTTATAGGAAAACGTGCGTGGATTTTGTAGGTATATTTTTGAGATTTTCGGCTTTTCACTTGCACTTTTATATTTGTTGTAATTCATATAGTTAAGCTTTATTTGTGGTTTCCGATTCAACTTTAATTTACTTTCAGCTTTAGTTGGAAACACATTTACACATTAGAGAATCCGACCACAAGAAGTCCCTCTCCGGCTCTTCACTTTCCATTCTAAGTTTATACATATATAAATTATAAATTGAAATTTTGTCTAAACATGTCTCGGGTTTTTATCTTTTACTTCAAGGATCGTAAAGAGAAATGATTAAATGCAGGTTTTAGTGATAATTTGGTATCCCGCACCTAAGTTACTCCTTGGGACAAAGCACTATGCTATAAATTATTTATTGTTATGGATCATTAGACATGTGGGCTGTTGGTTGCATATTTGCTGAGCTTCTTAAACTAAAGCCACCTTTTCAAGGGCAAGAAGTGAAGGTCCCACCTACTAATCTATTTTAGATAATAAAATGGGACATCAGGATGAGACATGGTATTTTATATCAAACCAAGCATTCTAGCCCAGCTCGTTGTGAAGTTACTGTGCCTAGTGGGAGGTCTCGAGTTTGAAACTCGCTGGGCACATAAGGGTTTGAAACTCAATGGAGTGAGTTTCAGCCTTGATTACTCCAGCTCCCCCCAGACCCCCTCCCCCAGACTCCCCCTGGAGTAAAAAAAAATGATATCGATACGAGACCGGTTCGAGATGAAAAGGTGCATCCTAAATTGATCGGTTATAGTTTAGGAACGATATCAAGATTTTTCGATTTGCACTAGTGCAAAAAACGTCATCCGCGGCGGTTCTGGAGAGCCATGCGCGGCGGTTTTGACCGCCGCAAATGGGTACTGACGCAAATAAAAAACGCGCGGCGGTTATTACTATAAAAACCGCCGCATATTTAATTAATAAAAAAAAATAGAAAATGAAATAATGCGCGGCGGGCGGTTATTACTATAAGAACCGCCGCATATTCTTTAATCTCGAAATATTATGGGTGACAGTTATTGGCATAAAAACCGCCGCCGATTTAAATTAAAAATAAAATTTCAAATGTGCAGCAGTTAGACATACTTTTTGTAATTTTCAAAAAGTATTATATATACCTGTTTTAATTAATAGAAACATAAACCTATACAATCTACAACACATATAACAACATAATCAATCATGGTTTCCAATTGAAAAGTCATCGATACATCCAAAAGTATGTTTTAATTAAACTTTAGAATTAATACTGAGTACAAAGACTTCTTGTCAAAGTTACACATCTAAATAACAATTAAGCTACATCACAAGCACAAAAGTCTCACTCATTAAATCAACTGAGAAACCTGCACGAATTCAACAAGGCCTAACTAACTACATTACAATGTTGTATTAACTTCCACATCTCAGGAATTCTTATTTCTTCACTCTCATCTTCAAATCCAACCCTGCAATATATTAAACATAGTTCATTAAAAACAAAGTAAATTAACAATTGATCAACATTCTTTAACTAGCTACTCGGTACTTAATTAAGTATTAACATATCGAATGTAATATAATGATCAGATAAGAACCTGAAAGAATTGCCTCAGTTGGCTGAAAGCATGAAATAATTTTACTCCAACCACATAATCTGCAAGAGAGATCAACTTGTTTGAATTGTGAAGATGGAATTCACAATCTCATCCACACTACTTTTCAAATTACATTCGCACTTGAATTTAATTTATAACTACAAAAAAGAGAAGAGTTCCCCTTATTCCAACATAATGGGCACATTCAAGTATTCAACTATAAAACGCAGAATAGTTCCCAAATAGATAATAATGAGCACACTAATTAATGTAGTTGTGGGGAATTTAAATAAAAAGGACTTTGAAAGAAAAATAGCAAAATAGCAAAGATAGACTGTACTGACAATAGCAGCAAAAGGAGAAATCAAATTTCCAAAAGAGATAAAAAAGAAAGAACAGACGAAAATGCCTTTGATAAACACGACCAGGCCAGAAGACCGGTTTTGACTTGCTGTGGAGGAACGCAAGCTGGCTGCCTTGACATACTCAAACCAAGTGGCCCATAAACTCCTACCTGTTAGATATAAAATAGGAAGCATGCTCTTTTTGTCAAAATAAAAATAGACACACTCTGAGAAAGCAACAACAAGAAACTAACCATATGGACGAACTGGCAGTTTTATTTTAAAAATTTTATTTTGCTTCAACTAGTGTATGTGCAAGTATCAGTTAACAATCCTTTTAGTCTTGCTAGGAAAAACAAAGAATGCATTAATCAAACAAGCAACTACGAAAAAATCGTTTTACATCTTTATTTTCGTTTGATATAATTTCAATATGAAATTTGTTAATGGATTGCAGGAAAGATATGACTAATTCTACGAGTCTTGTTTCATTGTACCTTTTCTTTTCACTTTGTTTTGATTTTCCTCCATGCCACTTTGATATTTATACATTCCAAGTACTCAAGATGTGAAGGGCTCTGTTAAAGACATTAGACATAAATTTAGACACTACATAGCAATAGCCACAAATCTAAAACATAAGAAATAAATATAAAGTTGCAACCTCTCCGTATACATTTAGTAGACATAGTGAATCTGAAAACTTAAAGACATGAGACAGACATTTAGATATATTACGGAGTATATACTAGTACTTCGTAATTATTGAATTAGACAAAATAAAAGAATTAATAAATAAAAGTAAAACTCACATACACAGCTTCAAAGCCTCACAGGCTTCACGGGAGGTCACAGCTTCGCGTGCGCAGCAGCTAGCTAGCAGGGAGGCAACAACATTTTTAAAAAATCAGGCTTCTAGCAACAGCAAAGCACAGGTGCTTAGCAGAATTCGCCACTTCGGTTTTTAGGGTTAGCAAATTCAAGGCTAATAAGTAGCAACGTAAATGTAAATCTCTGATATTTTATTAAGAATTTACATTATTTCGATACTTGGAAACGATTTTATTTACAGTCTTACACTAACAGTATCGTTTAATTAAATAAAATTTTAAAACAAAGAGGAGATTACATTGTTCAGCAGCAGAGGAAGCAAGCAGAAGAATTTAACCGCAGGCTGATGGATCAGAAAATGATGAAAGCTTCAGGAGCGCCAGGACCAGCGAGCCCCTAATTCCGCCGCTGGTCATCCTCGTCATGAATCGTCGTCGGCCAAGATCGGCTCAACCAGCCTCAAAAGGAGAAGCAACCGTCCACCTCAATCTTCCAGCCGCAGTCAATCCTCGTTCTCTCATCGCTGCAGCGGATATGATCAACTAGTTAGGGTTTTTTTGTGGAGGAGTGAGGCTGCAGGGATTCGATTAAAAATTAAAAGAATTGGGAAAAAAAGTCTCAAAATTTGTGGCGGTTGTTATAGTATTAAACCGACACGCGTTTCATTAAAATCTACTCCGTAAATAAGTGTATGTGGCGGTTCGTATAGTTATTAACCGACGCGCGTGTCTAGTATCTCCATTACTCCGCATTTGCGGCTGTTTATATTTAAATAACCGCCGCACTTTTCTCGAAAATTTTACTAAAAAAATAAAAATTGAACTATTGGCATCGGTCATCTACTTAGAACCGCCGCGCGTTCAACATTTATAATTTTTAAATAAAATTGCGGCAGTTATTTCAAAACCGCCGCTTATCTGGTGCCGCAAATTGACGTTTTTGCACTAGTGTTGAGACACCGGGAGTGGGATTTTCGCCCACCCTAATCGAATGAAGAGGGATAACTTAATTTATTTAGATGAAGCTATTGGAGTTTAATGACATATTTGTTTCATTCATATTAAAAATGGGATAGAGCATATTAATAGTTTAGGTAAAATGAGAAACAAGCTTCATTTGAAGAGAAAGAAATGAAATGTCAAAAGCTTAAAATAAACTTTGAAGGGGTGTGATATGTGTTTAGTAAAAGGGAAAAATAATTTGAAATACCCCGAACTTTGAAGGTGTGTGATGTTAACACCATAAACTTGCATGTGTATTTTAAATATCCCAAACTTTGCATAAAAAGTTTTTTAGCACCATGGTCATATGCTGTTTTTTTCAAAATGTAAATTTATGGTATGAATTTCATAATTTAAAATATTGTATTTGAATTAGTAAGCGTTGCAATTCTATCGACTGAGGGTACACAATATTATTTATTCACAATGGATATTTAGAATGTTAATTATATCTTCACAAATGCTAAAATATTTTAAATTATGCAATTAACACTATACACTTTTGAAAGAAATGATATATAACCATGGTGCTAAAAAAACTTTTTATGTAAAGTTTGAGGTATTTAAATTACATATGCAAGTTTGTGGTATTTACCTCACATCCCTTTAAAGTTTGGGGTATTTGAATTAATTTTCCCTTAGTAAAAAGGGGTTGTAAATAGAATTCCCTATTATGAAGTGAGATGGAACATGGTAGCTCTATAGATTTTGACTCATTTTGACAATTCTATACATAATTAATTGAATTCTCTATTAAACCATAATTGACTAATTTACGTACAATTTATTGCCCTTACAATTTTAAATTTAAATTTTAATACAAATTGGAAGCACATATACCGTGTACTAGCAGGGGCGGAGCCAGCACACTGGGCCGGACTGAGCCGATACAAAGAATTTTTTTGGAAATTTTTTTGGCCAAAATTTTTTACACAAAAAATGAAAGCATTTTTTTGAATTTGGATTGGGCCAGGATCAAGGTTGGCCCACCACTGTCTCCGCCCTACCGTGTAGTGCACGACACACATACTAGTTGCATGCTTATTATTCTCAAAATACCAATGGACTCGGCTACTTCTTTGCTTTATGGATGATAGTCAGGCTTCATTAAGGACATATAGAGGCCTAATAGAGCAATTTTACTCGGCCCTTTTGAAGAAGGCCCATGAATTTGAAACCCTAGCCAATAGAAGGATATAAGGGCCGATATCTTCATATCTCGCATATGTGCCTGTTTCGGAGAGGGTAAGAGAGGTCGGGCGAAGATGGTGTCGTTGAAGTTGCAGAAGCGGCTCGCCGCAAGCGTGCTCAAGTGCGGAAGAGGAAAGGTCTGGCTTGATCCCAATGAAGTCAATGAAATCTCCATGGCTAACTCCCGTGAGTTTTTCAGTATCATCTCTTTGTCGTTTCAAATCGCGTGTTCTCTCTATTTTTTTTCCTTCGAAACCTGGAGTTCTGACGACGGCTACTTCAATCCGAGAATTGATGTGGCTAGATCCGAGTTTGTAGTATATTTATCGGCTTTTTCTTCCGTTTATTTTACTGAGATATGAGTACTTGAAATGACTCAATAGGCTATGATCGCCTAATTTTAACCTGTTCTTCCCGATTTATTCAAATAAAAATGTAACCTTTTTAACGGTTGATTTGAAGTTATATGTAAATATCTACAATAGTTTTGAATTCATAAAGAAGCGTGATGAATGAATAATCTCATTATCATGTATAATCATGTTAATGTTCTTCGATGCAGGTCAAAACATCCGGAAGTTGGTGAAGGATGGGTTTATCATCAGGAAGCCAACTAAGATCCACTCCAGGTCTCGTGCCCGCCGAATGAAGGAAGCCAAGAGAAAGGGTCGCCATTCTGGATATGGTATACTACCTAAATAGCGATGACGCCCAATACATGTTTAAATGAAACAAATTTTGATGTTGCATGCCATAAGATAATTACAATCACAAGATATGTTTTTGATGTTCTGATCCTTGATATATGTTAATTTTCTGCTTCAATTGAACCTATTAGGTAAACGTAAGGGTACTAGGGAGGCTAGGTTGCCCACTAAAATTCTTTGGATGAGGAGGATGAGAGTGCTTAGGCGTTTACTTCGCAAGTACAGAGAGGCTAAGAAGATTGACAAACACATGTACCATGATATGTACATGAAAGTTAAGGGAAATGTCTTCAAAAACAAGCGTGTGCTGATGGAAAGCATCCACAAATCAAAGGCAGAGAAAGCTAGAGAGAAGACATTGTCTGATCAATTTGAGGCCAAGAGAGCCAAGAACAAGGCTAGCCGTGAGAGAAAGTTTGCACGGCGTGAGGAACGTTTTGCTAAGGTAAATCATTCTTACTAGAGTTAAAGTGAGAAGAAAGGTATCATGTGTACAGTGAATATGTTTACATTTATAGACGTTTGCTCCATATGTTATCATTGCTTATGCTGTATTTTAGGCAACCCTAGTTCCAATGATTTATGTAGCATAGTTTAGATTTATAATATTTAGCTCAAGCTAACTACATGTGATCAACTTGGTGGTATTGAAGGCTATTGTAATTCTTTTGAAAGAGGAAGTAACTGCATTTGATTGATTCATATGAAACATAGATTATATTGGCTAGTTGTCTGTTCTATTAGTTTTTTTATTGATCTACTTGTGGACATCTTAAAGTTGTTTGCATGTATTTACCCGTGAATAACTTCATTATTCATTTGCTGGCAAATAATTGTAACACATTTTGTATTTGCCTCTGAATAACATTGTTGTTAATAATATCCCTTGCCTTGACAGGGCACTGTGGAGAAGGAAGCACCTGCTCCAGCAGCAGCAGCTCCCCAAACCCAATCAGCCCCACAGTAAGTGTTGTGCCTGTTGTCATATTTGATCATTTCTCTGGATTTGTATATCAATCATATGATGGTTCTCTTGTCTGGTAACCTGTGCAGGGTATCTAAAAAATCAAAGAAGTGAAGCCTTGGACTTGTATCTGTCTAGTTGGAGGCTTTACATTATGTTTTCTGATCCTTGCCATTTTTGTTGTTTTATCATTATTATTAGAATATTTGTGCTTTCCGAACTTGTGAAGTTTATAACCATGGTACTATGTTTTTATTCTAGCCTTTTGGTCTACTTTATGCCTTACAAGCTTGTGGTATATGCTTACTGTCTTCTGAGTAGTGTTATCACCAGACTGAGTTGGTAGTTACTACGTATTTAATGACAGAAATTCAGTTGGTTTCAAAACATTGCAAAATGGACTTAAGTTGATATCATCAGTGCATATTGACTCAAGGTCTTCATGTGTAGTTTAAGAAATGTCATTAGGTATTTAGGCGATACAAATGTAACACCATGTAGACTTTCTTTTTTGAGTTTGAGATAGGAATTTTTGAGTATTGGTTAAAAGGTGGGTTTGAGAAAGGAATTTGCAAACTGCTAGATTTGTTTTTGCTCTACGAGTTGTATGCTTGATTTCCAGTTCTAACAAAAACTGTGTACCCAATACCATGAATGAACAGCTGAAACCAGTTCCAAAGGCCTCATTACAGAACAAACCGGCTTTAAGTTGAACTGTAAGAATCCAGTGAATACATAATCAACAAACAGTCAAAGACCCCTCTTCTATCTGCAAAAGATCATTTCCAAACCACTCTAGAGCTAAGACCGGTTGCCATTTGCCAACAGTCTCACATACGTTGTCTTAGGGCTGGACTCGGGCCGGGCGGCCCGACCCGGGACTGAACCGGCCCGGTCACTGTTTGGCCTGGCCCGGCCCGTGGCCCGGTGGGTCCACCGGTTTGGTTTGGCCCGGCCCGGGTGCTGGGCGGTCCGGGCTCGGGCCCAGGTTTTGGTGAACCGGCCCGGTTCGGGCTGGATTTTAATTTTTTTTTTTGAATTTTTTTTTAAGTTTTAGGTTGGATTAGGTATTTTGGGCCATTTGAGGTGGTTTGGGATGGTTTGGGGTTGAGGGGGAGGGGTAGGGGATATAATAGGAGAACAAAAAAAAAATTAATTGGGCTGGTTCGGCCCGGCCCGGCCCGGTTTGGCCCGGAACCGGAACCGGAACCGGCTACCGGCAGTTCGGGCTCGGGCCTCCCCTTTCCTGGCCCTAGGCCCGACCGGGCCCAGGCCCGAACCGGCCCGAGTCCAGCCCTATGTTGTCTACCTGATATTCTGATAACTCCTATCATGTGAATAGAGGAGCACTCGGGCCGGGCGGCCCGACCCGGAACCGGCCTGGCCGGCCCACTGTAGTCTGTAGCAACCGGCCCGGCCTGGTGGCCTGGTCCACCGGTGGTTCTGGTCGAACCGGCCCGGTGGATACAGGTTCCGGGCCCGGGCCCTCCATTTGGTGAACCGGCCCGGGCCGGATTTATTTTTTGTTTTTTTGAAAATTTTTTGAGTTTTGGGTTTGATTAGGTATTTTGGGCCATTTGAGGTGGTTTGGGGTTGAGGGGGAGGGGGTTAAACAAGAGAAGCAAAAAAAAAAAAAATAGGCGGGTGAACCGGTTCGGAACCGGCCCGGTCTGGCCCGAAACTGGCTCGGAACCGGCGTTCAGGCTCGGGCCTCCCTTAGCTTGAACTGAAGCCCGGCCGGTTCAAGGCCCGAACCGTGTCCGTTCCGGAACCGGTCCATCCCTAGCCCGGCCCGGTGGCCCGGTCCACCGGCGGTTCGGGTCGAACTGGCCCGGTGGATACCGGTTCTGGGCCCCGGCCCTCCATTTGGTGAACCGGCCGGTTTGGGCCCCGTCCGGGCTGGATTTAATTAATTTTTTTTTTTTGAAAATTTTTTGAGTTTTGGGTTGGATTAGGTGTTTTGGACCATTTGAGCTGGTTTGGGGTTGAGGGGGAGGGGTAGGGGGGTTAAATAAGAGAAGCAAAAAAAAAAAAAATAGGGAGGGTGAACCGGCCCGGAATCGGTTACTGTTGAGCCTCGTCCGGCCCGGGAACCGGTGGCCCAGTGGTTCGGGTCGAACCGGCCCGGCCCTTGGGCGGTTCGGGTCGAACCGGCCCGGGCCTTGGGTGGTTAGGGCTCGGGCCTATGTTTTGGTGAACCGGCCCGGCAGGTTCGGGCCTGGTTCGGGCCGGTTTGTTTTTTTTTTTTTTGATTTGTTTTTTAAAGTTTTGGGTTGGATTAGGTATTTTGGGTCATTTGAGGTGGTTTGGGGTGGTTTGGGGTGGAGGGGGAGGGGTAGGGGGTTAAATAAGAGAAGAAGAAAAAAAATTAAAAATTAAAAATCCGGGTGGCCCGGAACCGGACCCGGAACCGCCCACCACCGGTTCGGGCTCGGGCCTCATTTTTCTGAACCGAGGCCCGGCCGGGCCCAGGCCCGAACCGGCCCGAGGCCACCCCTAAACCGGCCCGGTCTGACCCGAAACCGGCCCGAACCGAGTCCAGCCCTACATGTGAACAAGTGAACTACACGTATGGTGGGTCAACTACAAATGTGTGTTTGATAGTACCTCATCAACCAAAATAACCTAATAGTCCAGATTATGTGGTCTGATATTTAATCAAATAGAACACATAATAAGCACATTTAGTTTTTTCACGTGATTTTCTAAAAATTTATACGTAGTATTTGTTAGGAGTTACAATTTTCTTAATCCATATGTAGTAATGATACTATCTATATATTATTTGTGTTAAAAATATCAACAAGGTGAATATAAATTCACTGAAGGATGTTTTGGATCCCAAATCAGATCAGACTTCCGTAGTTATAAAATACAAAAATATCAGATATTTATCAGACCAGTTCAGATCAGACCAGACCAACAAAATTTGTTCCAAAGAAAAACATCCTAAGCTGTGAATATAGAGTAACATATGGTTTCTTGACTAGGTTGTCAATGATCGTTCTATTACATGTATCATGTACGGTGACCACCTATGAAGCGCGGATACTTCGCTGGGGTACTGTGACGATGTATCTAAAACGTTCCCATATCCGATACCCTAGGATACCTGTATCATACATTCCCGGGCCGTATCTCCATTTTTTAAAAATTTTCATTTTTTGGCAATTATTTTAAAATTTCGGATGCTCGTATCCTGACGAATACACGTATCAGTCTTAAAAAAAATCCTTTTTTTTTTAAAAATAAAGCACCCAAAATTTATATAACAAAATTCTTAAAAAACGAAAAGCTAAAAATAATGTTTGCTTTTATGTGGTACACTACTAGTGGTTATATTCCTAATTCACTCATTCTCCTATCCCCAATTCTAATTATCCCTATAAATTTTCAATCAAAAAAAATTATCCCTATAAATTCATAGTTCCAATCGAAAATATGTATTAGAACTTTTAAAATATTGTTTTCTATCTTCATTATTCTACAACCTTGAGTACTTGCACTTTTAATTTCAAAACTGTAGTTGTTTGATTTATTTATCAATTTTTTATGAATGACTTATTGAACATATTTATATTTCAAGATGCATTAAAGTATATGAGATAAAATGTGAATTTATTTCTAAGTATCTTGAAAATGTAAAATGCTTCAATGCCATGAATGATTAGACATCAAAGATAATATATGTATATTTTTTCAAAAAAAAAAATATAATATTTATAATTCACCCCTATAATTTTTAATATTTATAAATATATCCCCATAACTTTTAATTTTTATAAATATGGCCCCATATCAATATCCTACTTTTTTTGTCGTATTCTTGTTCCCGTTTTCGCGTTTCTGCGTACCCGTATAAGTGCTACATAGGCGATCGCTTATCACACGGTTGAGTACAATGATGAACCGTGTTAAAATGATTGATTATAGGGAAAGCTTTCAATTTGTAATAAGAGGGAGCAAATGTGAATTCAACTCGAGGTGAACTATTAGATCACTCCTAATCCAAAGGTATTAGGAGTACAACATGTTAAAATGAACATTTTTCGAACTCCTAAGAGAATCTCCAATACAAAGCGTGCCGATTAAAATTAAAAAACAACAAATAAAATCTCTCCTAATTTGAACAGTTTTATGTATTTATAGTAAGTTTTTCTCCACAATGTCAAACACAATGTTTTGATGTAGACATTATGGTTGACATTTTTGAGAAAAACTTACCAAAAAATACATAAGACCTTGAAAAGAATGAGAGATAAATATCATAAATTTAATCTTTTATGTCTATTTCTCTCATGTCACATGTGCATCGTACACATTATAGCATTGTAGAAGTTCTAAATTATAATAATGGGGAACAAAAGTAGAACTTAAAGTGTAGAGTGGGGTCGGGAGGCTTTTTCAGTCGGACAATAGGCTTCAAAAATACAAAAATGATGTTTGTACCCACTCTTATACCCACTTTTGTACTCACCTATGTTTGTGAAGTGTTTTATTTTTGTCTGTGAATCCCGGTTCACAGACAATATTTTGCACAAACAAAAAAAAATACTTCACAAACATGGTGAGTATAAGGTGGGTATAAGAGTGAGTACATTTGAAATAAATAACATCGATTCCTTCCATGAGCAACATAGGGGGTTTGTAGCAGTATAAATGTGTAATTACTACGGAGTACATCTCAATTTAGACTCTAGAGTTTGCCATCAAGGTTAAGGGAAGTAAAAAATAGGGTGTCAACTGTGGGTCCTAGAAAAAAATATGAAGTTCTAACAGTTGGATTTTTTAGGTTAAAAAAAAATGAAACACAAATTTTAATTCACTCCTATCGCAAGTAGTCAAATTTTACTTGAAATTATTTTTATTTACTGAAAAAGGTAAAAAAGAATCAATGAAAATTCATTTCTAATATTGAAATGTGTTTTTTTTTTCTCAAAATTATTCAGAAAAAAAATACAAACTACCATGAATGTGTCAGGACATTATACTTGTGAATTTATCACAATATCACATCATACTACCAAATTTATCACGTAATCCAAATGAACAAACTGTCTTTTTTTTGGAAGAAACAAACTGTGGCTATTGTTAATTGTAATTACACTAGCTCTCTTCAATTGTAGTCAAGGTTTTCACAAATGGAGTATTATTGTCACGCCCCAGACCGCAATCCAAGCGCGTGTACAACCGCCGTATAATTAAGTGACGTCACCCGCGAGTCAACCCCACTTAATTACACAAGGCGTTCGAGAAAACAATCCATCCATACTCAGTAGTAAACATATATAACAACATCACATTCAAACCAATGAATAGCGGAAATATTCAACGGTACGTCATGAGCCACAACCGGCCAACAACATGGACATGCAAGCCCAAAAAATGGTTTATAGTAAAACAAATACCCATGAGCAAGTGTTCGGTAGTTTGAAAGAAAATAAGGAAGCACGAACCACGTCTTCCTGATTTGATATCACCCTTGAGAAGGTGCAAGTAGCAAGCCCTAGCTTTAACCTGAAAATGGTGGGGCCCCCCGAAGGGGTCAGTACAAGTACCGAGCGAGTAGCAGGCTAAATATAGAATAACTAGCGTTTCAAGTATAAGACCCAAACATAGGGTGATACTTAAATAGATAGTCTTTCCCCCAAGTTATGAAATACTTATTAGTATATATATACTTGGAAAATATCCGATCCGTAGATCACCATTTTATTTGGGAAAAATAGTATTAGTCAATATTCTTGACTAAAAACCCCAACCCACCCATATACCTATGAGTGTATAGGACTCCTCCTTGTCCCTATTTGTATATCATAATTTATGAGTTTTAGGATCAACATCCTCGGATACTCCACCGGTTTGTGAGTGTTAAGGCCTCATAAGTCCTAGGGTCCTCCACCGAGTTTTGAGTGTTAAGTACTTTAAGTACTAGGGTCCTCCACCAAGTTTGAGTGTTAAGGACTTTAAGTCCTAGGGTCCTCCACCAAGTTTTGAGTGTTAAGTACTTTTAAGTACTAGGGTCCTCCACCAAGTTTGAGTGTTAAGGACTTTAAGTCCTAGGGTCCTCCACCAAGTTTGAGTGTTAAGTACTTTTTAAGTACTAGGGTCCTCCACCAAGTTTGAGTGTTAAGGACTTTAAGTCCTAGGGTCCTCCACCAAGTTTGAGTGTTAAGTACTTTTTAAGTACTAGGGTCCTCCACCAAGTTTTCCTATGATCAACCTCCTATCAACCTAGATAGAGTCTATATCATCCTTAGTTACTCATAACTAATCCAATACATAAATCTTATGTATCACAATCCATGCAAAGCCATGCATTTATATAGGTTTATAATTAATTAATACCAACCGGTATTAATTAAATCCTTTGTTCTTCGGTCCACGTTTTCGTTGACCGCCATTTCATGCCTTGTGTGTATCAACTTAATCATCATATAATTAAGTTAATAATATTCATTTGTGCTTCTAATACACTTCAAACAAATATGCATTTCATATAATTCTTAATATCATATTCCATGCATCAACAATTAATTTCTTTCATACAAACTTAACCCTATCGGCTAGTCACATGTTTAAATATCTTTTAAACATCATTATGAAATCATATAACATTTATTTAGGTAATCTCATAATTAACCCAAAAGTTATAAGATATTAAGCCGTCCACTCACCTTGAACTAGCGTATGAAGTTCTACCCCTCTTGGTTGAACTCCGGTGAAACTCCGGCGACTTTTGGTCAACTCCGGCGACAACTCTGGCGACTTTTCCAACTTTGTGAAATCACTTGAAATACCTTTCACAAGTTCCTTAGTTTTCACACCTTTTCCTAGCTTTTTCCTTCTATAGTCTTTCCCCTTGGACTCCTATTGCTTGGGCTTTGTTCTTGGATATGGAGGATGTATTTTGCAGGGAGTTCCCTCTCCTCTTGATGAGTCTTGGCCGAAAATGAGGGTGGAGGTGAGAGGAAATGCCAACTTTTGGCTTATTCCACCATGATAACATGGCAAGGACCCCCCATGTGTCCTTTTGATGCCAATCCCCTCAAGTCAACCACTCCCACACCCCTTATCTCCAATCAGCCAGCCCTCCCTCCTCTCACAGCCCACAAAAAAACGTGGGGTGGCCCCCACTCATGTGGGAGGTCATCCCTTTGTGTCCCGGTGTGTACAATCGGTCCCGAAAGTTGTATTTTTTGGACTGTTTTAAATATATTTTATTTTATCGGGTCAAATAAAATATATTATGTGCTCTTACTCATTATGACATGTATACTGAATATACATTCCCCAACTTTAATTTATAAGCCTCCGAAATTCAGTTCGGGCTGTTATCAGTTAAATTACCGGTACTGGTAATTTGGGCTTCTTTTGACCAATCGGTCAACTCCGGGCCTTTCCATGGCCCAAATGAAATATCCACCACTACATATTTATTATCTAGACCATGATGAATAAAATGTATGGTCTCGGGAAAATCGGGCGGCCCCCGCTCCCGGTGTGGGTCCCACGTGCAATTTACTATTCACGCGAAAGAATAAATAAAAATTTACAACTTCGTAAATTCATAAATCATTCCATAAGGTTTATTACATCATTTACATAAAAGTAAATACATTTGGGGACGGTGTTACAAGTTCACCCCCCCTTATTTGGGATTTCGTCCCCGAAATCCGTGTGTCTAATCGAAAAGAAACGGGTATTGCTCCATCATTGAGACCTCGGTCTCCCATGTTTCTTCTTCGACTCGATCACTCCTCCAAAGAACCTTTACCATAGGAATCTCCTTATTCCTAAGTTTCTTCACTTGTTGACCCACTATCTTCACCGGCTCTACCGCATATTGCAAATCCTCACGGATCTCTACTGGCGGTTTCTCAAGAATATGAGAGGGATCCCGTATGTACTTCTTGAGCATTGATACATGAAACACATCATGTATCTTCTCAAGTTCCGGCGTTAACTTGAGACGATAAGCCACGGCTCCAATCCTTTCAAGGATCTCAAATGGACCAATGTATCGGGGGTTAAGCTTTCCCCTCGATACAAATCGAATGATGCCCTTCCAAGGAGAAATCCTTAGGAAGACCTCATCACCGACTTCGAACTCCAACGGTCTCCGCCGTTTATCAGCATAACTCTTCTGTCGGTCCTGAGCAGCCTTCAATCTATCCCGAATGATCCTTACCTTGGCCTTGGTAATCTCAACCAGCTCTATCCCTTCGAGTTTGGCCTCGCCAACCTCGTCCCAACACAACGGTGTTCTACATTTCCTCCCATACAATGCCTCATATGGAGGCATGCCGATACTTGCTTGATAACTGTTGTTATAAGCAAACTCCACTAGGGCCAAATGCTTGTCCCAACTTCCTTGGAACTCCAAAGCACATGCCCTAAGCATGTCTTCCAAAATCTGTATCACCCGCTCGGACTGTCCATCCGTCTGTGGGTGAAAAGCTGTGCTAAACTTCAGTTTAGTACCCAGCGATGTGACGTGCACTTTGTCGTGAGTGCAATCAAAGTAAATTCAATACAACACTTATACGTAGTATAGTGAAGTAGAGTTCGTATCCACAGGGAAAGGAATAATTCTCTTTTTATGAACTAAGTAGATAAAGGGGGGTTTTGTTTGTTGAGTGATTTAATTAATTTAAACACGAAGATGAACGAGTTATATGAGATTAAATTCAAGAATAAAAGGGACTTGGTCTTGCTACTTTCCACTTGTTGATATATTTTAGTCGATCATTGTTATATCCATAACTTGTCCCCTCTCGAATACTCAATCGCGGAGTATATCCAGTTCATCGAGGGTAGTTATTAACAACGACCGTTCATTAATAACCCTTACTATTAATCAAATATAGAACAACGCCGTATACCGATATAATAGTAGCATTTAACCTCTTTAACTCCTTGATGAAATCAATTGAGATTGATAACCTCAACGCAACGGTTTCGGTTTAACCAACAAAATTGATCCCTCTTAAGTTTATTAACCACGACCGTGCATTAACAAACCGAAGTTACTTACTTGTGAAACTATCAACGATTAACCATCGGTTCGTTGATCGTTTCTAGTAATAATCAATGTTGGAACGTTAACTAATCGTCACTTAGCAACCCTCCAACAATGATATAGAATGAGATTAAGGGAAGAATTAATAATCAAGAAGAGAGAGTAAGGAAATAACTCACAACTTTAATAATCAATCAAGCTTCAAGAGCAAAACCAAGAAATGGAAGTTTAGCTCCTCATTTGGAGACTAAACATGCTAAAAGAAATATAAAGAAATGCTATTCTAGACTGAGCTTAAGTATAGGAAAGAAGGGATGATTTTTTGTGAAGAAAAAGTGTGCTATTTATAGGTGTTTTTCAACACCTTTGGCCGGGTACCCGACCGGGTATAGGTACATACCCGACCGGGTACCGGTCAAAATCAGATTATCTCCCACGATTTCTTGTTTTCTGCACGTTAACTTGTCCGGGTCAAGTCAGACCCGACCGGGTCAAGTAAGGGACCCGCCCGGGTTTGACCAAAATCAGATCTTTTCCAAATCTGCAGCATGTTCTGGTGCTCCGGGTCAAATCTGACCCGACCGGGTCGAGTAAGGGACCCGCCCGGGTCTGTGTTCCTGAGAATTTTTGTCTTCAGCTTTTCTTCCCTTTTGCTTGCTAAAAACTTTATCACTATTCTATAGCTAGAAATAGAAGGTAAAAACAATTACAACTAAAATAAAACAAATACTTAAAAACTAACTAAAAGTGATGGAAAGTCTACACAAGATCGATATAAAAACATACACTTATGCACTATAAACTAGTGCATATCAAACACCCCCACACTTGCACTTTTACTCGTCTCGAGTAAAATGAGTTCTGTTCAAGAAGTCTTTAAATGGCAGAAGTAGCAAAAACAACAACCATAAGTGTTCAAGCAAATAACATAAAGTATCTCCAAAACCAAAAGAGTAAAAATGGGTCTTCAATGTCAGCTTCCTCATTCGATGAACTCTGTATAGTAATCACCTTCAGGATCCTGCAAAATCAAAAGAAATACTTTCTCTCATTCTCTCATTTTGCCTAGGTGCCCCTTCGGGTTTTCAACCCAGCTTCCCACATTTTCCTTTTTTGTTCTTACCAACTCACTCTTCTTTTTGCTTTTATTTTGCTTAAGTTGCCCGTTTGGGTTTTCAACATAACAAGCTTATTTGTTTTTTTTTTTTTTTTTTTTTTTTTTTTTTTTTTTTTATTGAAGAAAATAATGAAGAGCATGAAATGGGTGCATACCGGAATAGTTCTCAATACCCCCACACTTAGGATTAGGCACTGTCCCTAGTGCCCGCCCGCATCTCCTCCATCATAGGAACCTCCATAGCCGTGGTAACCTGTGAATTGAGCATCTTCATCCATGTGATCACCTTGGTGCCCGTCATCTCCGCCCCCTCCACCAGAACTTGAGCCGCCGAAATAACCCCATTCAGTGGGGTTATACCATGAGGGTGCGGGAGGGGGGTTGCTCATAGTCGCAAAGGACCCCTGGTGTGCTACATAAGAGTATATCGGACCAAAGGTTCTTCGTTGGTCCTCTTCATGCCTACGCCAATCCTCCCGTCTTTGTTCTTCAATCCTCTCAAAACTCTGCCTCTGCTCATTTCTAAATAACCCGAACTCATTCCGGAGTTGAGTGTAGTTAAGGTTAAGAGCATTCATGCTATTTAGCATTTCTTGCTCAAATGGTGAATATTGGTGGGCATGAGGTTGTGGTTGTGGTTGTTCAGGAATGAGGAGTGGTGGCTCAATTGCTTGCTCGTTGGCGGCGTTGTTGTCTTCATTGTTCCCCTGTTCATCATCTGGGGGTGCATAATGAGCTGGGATCCCCCCGGGCAGACAATAATGGTGTCCATCACCAATATGGTGATCAAGGATGTTAAGTGGGAGATTATCGGAGGGGAATGGGTGGTACAGATCTTGGCCAGGTTTGATGTGCCAATGATAGATCTCCAGACCATCATGTTCTACGTGTGATAGGGTCACATCCCCAGCATTCTTTAGAAACTTAAGGCCAAGAAGGGTTCTTTTGTTTCGTGCACCATTGCATTGAAAACCATATAGTGTTGCTATGTGGGTAATTAGACCCCCTACCAGAATTGGTCCTCCACCATTTTTAACATTGATAATGTGATCCCAAAGCACGGTGGTGAGATCGTACGGGCTAGCACCCGGAAGAACAGCTTGTGCTAAGAGGCACACATCACTCACTCTAGTTTGATGGTTGTTTGGTCTCCCGAAAAGACAATTTGCCAAGAATTTGAAGAAAATTCGGAAAACCGGGTGTTGGATGTGGTTGACATTGAGGTGGGAAGTGCGAACATTGACAACTCCAGTCATTCTTCTCCATAGTTCATGGGCTACCGGTGTACTATGCGCGACAATTTCATCAAGCAAGGGTAGGCCGAAGTGTTCAGCAAATTCTCTTTTAGTGAGTGAACGGTTCTCGTTGAGCATTCGAAAGTTGATAGTGTTATTGGTGTGATCATTTTCGTCTTTCACATGCTCAACGGAACTGTAGAACTCATACACTAAACGAGAATATGACCAATAATGCATATTAAAAATTTTCAGCATGCCACACCTTGTGAATATGTCCCTCATAATATCATCAATCCAAAAGAAAGTCAAGGTCAATTGGCACATAAATCGGGAGTGTTTTACCTCTCTTTCGGATTGTTCGAGAAAGCGGATGCGTTGTGCTTCGGTTGCAAGGTCCACCTCCTCGAAGCCGTCAACCGGTGGAATAGCCCTTTGAGTCCTTGAGGAAGAAGGTTTTGCCCTTTTTGGTGCCATGGAGCTTGATTTTGGGTGTTTTTGGTGAGGGATTTTTCGGATTTTTGGGGTGGGTAGGATTTGGTGAGCTTGATGGGTATGGTTTTGTAGGGAATGATTAGGAGAAGAGGTATTTGATGTTTGGTGATGATTTTTGGCTTGTCTTTGGACCTTTGAAGTCCAAGAATGAAGGGGTTCGAAAATGGGGGTAGGGTTTTTTTTGGTTGGTTGATTTGGGGGATTTGAGATGGATTAATTGGTGTAGGATGAAAGAGGGAGGTGAGGAGATGAAGAATATGATGTTAATTTATGGATTTGATGGAGAAATGAGTTGGTTTTGAGCTTTGGAGTTATGAAAATGGAGGTTTTGGGATAGGGAGGTTCGAAAATTTGGGGAAGATGAAGTGGAGATGTTGTGCTGCCCGACCTGGTATAGGCTGAAAAGCCCGATTACCCGGTCGGGTGGGGTGGTTTACCCGGGCGGGTTTGCCTTTCAGAGGTTGGCAGAATGATTTCCGGGTGTTTACCCGGTCGGGTAGGGTAGTTTACCCGGTCGGGTAACCTGAACTTTTTAAAACAGAAGCCTCTGGTTTAAATACCCGGCCGGGTGGGTTAAAATACCCGGTCGGGTTTGTTGAAATTTTTAAACCAGAATGTTCTGGTTTCAATACCCGACCTGGTGGGTTAGTTTACCCGGTCGGGTTTGTTCAGTTTATTTTTTTATTTTTTTTTTTTTTTTTTTTTTTTTTGAACACACAAACTCTGCAAAATTTAATTAAAGTGAACATACCTTGCATGGGTTGCCTCCCAAGAAGCGCTTTATTTAACGTCGTGGCTCGACGATATCTTCGTTGTTCTTTACTCATAGACCGGTTCAGAAAGGTCCATGACTTCCACATTTTTGGGTTGAAAACCCTCAAAGAAGGGTTTTAGTCTTTGTCCATTCACCTTGAGCACCTCGCCCGTTTCCAGGTCTTTAATTTCCACCGCCCCGTGTGGATAAATTTTGACCACTTTGTATGGTCCAGTCCAACGGGATCTCAGCTTTCCGGGAAATAGACGAAGGCGTGATTGAAAAAGGAGGACTTTGTCATCAAGTTTAAAGTTCTTCCTTATGATCATTTTGTCGTGCCACTCCTTCGTCTTTCTTTTGTATATTTCCGCATTGTCATAAGAATCCATGCGGAGTTCTTCCAATTCTTGCAATTGGAGCTTCCTATGCAAACCGGCCTCGTCAAGATTGAGGTTGAATTCTTTCACCGCCCAATATGACTTGTGTTCAAGCTCTACGGGGAGATGACAAGCTTTGCCAAACACAAGTCTATAAGGGGACATACCAATCGGAGTTTTGTAAGCAGTTCGGTATGCCCATAGCGCATCATCAATGCGTATACTCCAATCCTTCCGATTTGGGTTCACTGTTTTCTGGAGTATAGACTTCAACTCCCTATTTGAGGTTTCCGCTTGGCCATTGGTTTGAGGGTGGTAAGCAGTGGAGATCTTGTGAGTCACACCATATTTTCTTAGTAGGGATCCCACAATTTTATTACAAAAATGTGTGCCTCGATCGCTTATTAAAATTCGAGGGACCCCGAACCTTGAAAATATGTGTGTTTTGAGGAAATTAGCCACCACCTTGGCATCATCAGTCTTCGTTGCCTTTGCCTCCACCCATTTGGAGACGTAATCTACCGCAAGAAGGATGTAGATGTTACCTTGAGAGTTTGGGAAAGGTCCCATGAAATCAATACCCCATGCATCGAAAATTTCACAGAAAAGCATGGGGTTTTGTGGCATCTCGTTTCTCCTAGAAATGTTGCCTGCTCTTTGACAATTGTCACAAGATTGACAAAAGCCATGTGCATCCCGGAATAGACTTGGCCACCAAAAACCACTTTCAAGAATCTTCATTGCAGTCCGTTTCGGGCCGAAATGTCCTCCACAAGCATAAGAATGGCAAAACTCTATAATGTGGGTTATCTCATATTCGGGGATACATCTTCGGATTATTTGATCCTTACAATGTTTCCACAAATATGGGTCATCCCACACATAAAGTCTTGAGTCCATTTTTAATTTTTCTTTTTGAGCTTTTGAGAATTGTGGAGGAAATTTGCCGGAAACAAGGAAATTTACGATGTTTGCGTACCATGGTTGTATGACTTTGATGGAGAAGAGAGTCTCGTCCGGGAATTCGCCTTTTATGAGATTGGTATGGAGCCTTTCGATTTCTTTGTTTGGGACCAAGCGGCTTAAATGATCGGCCACCAAGTTCTCCGCTCCCTTTTTGTCTTTGATTTCTATGTCAAACTCGCTCAATAGAAGGACCCATCGAATGAGTCTTGGTTTGGCTTCCTTCTTTGTCATAAGGAATCTGAGAGCGGCGTGGTCGGTGTAGACAATAACTTTCGTTCCAAGAAGGTAGGAACGAAACTTCTCCAAAGCAAAGACCACCGCTAGCATTTCCTTCTCGGTAGTGGAGTAGTTCTTTTGTGCTTCATTGAGAGTTGATGAGGCGTAGTAGATGACATGAGCAGCCCTTCCAACCTTTTGGCCTAAAACAGCCCCCACCGCATAGTCACTTGCGTCACACATGATCTCAAAAGGAAGAGACCAATCAGGAGCTTGTATGATAGGAGCGGTTACCAACCTTTCTTTCAATGTGTCAAAAGCCTCTTTGCATTCGTCATTGAGATCAAATTCCGCCTCCTTTTGCAAGAGTTTGCATAGGGGAGATGAAATTTTGGAGAAGTCTTTTATGAACCTTCTATAGAATCCGGCATGCCCAAGGAAAGATCGAATATCCCGTACATTTGTTGGGTACGGGAGTGTTTGGATGACATCAATCTTGGCTTTGTCTACTTCAATGCCTTTTGAAGAGATCACATGTCCAAGAACAATCCCGTGTTCCACCATAAAGTGGCATTTTTCAGAATTTAGGACAAGGTTGGATTCAATACAACTTTTGAGCACAAGAGTGAGATGGTAGAGGCAAGTGTCAAAGGAGTCCCCATGAATTGTGAAATCATCCATAAAGACTTCCATGAACACCTCCACAAATTCGGAGAAGATGCTCATCATACACCTTTGAAAGGTGCCCGGTGCGTTGCATAATCCAAAGGGCATTCGTCGGTAGGCAAAAGTGCCAAATGGACATGTGAAAGTTGTTTTCTCTTGGTCTTCCGGGGCTATTGGTATTTGGAAATACCCGGAGTAACCATCAAGAAAACAATAGAACTTGTGCCCCGCTAGCCTCTCTAGCATTTGATCAATGAAGGGCAATGGGAAGAAGTCTTTTCTAGTTACCGAATTGAGCCTTCGGTAATCAATGCAAACTCGCCACCCGTTTTGAATTCGGGTGGGTACCATCTCGCCTTCTTTGTTCTCAATGACCGTCACTCCGGTCTTCTTTGGCACCACTTGGGTTGGACTCACCCATTTGCTATCGGAGATGGGAAAAATGATTCCCATTTGAAGTAGTTTGATCACCTCCTTTTTCACCACCTCCATCATGGGTGGGTTCAATCTTCTTTGCGGTTGCCTCACCGCCTTGGCCTCATCTTCAAGTAGGATCCGGTGCATGCATGTGGATGGACTAATGCCTTTGATGTCGGCAATAGACCATCCAATGGCCAACTTGTACTCCTTGAGGACCGCAATCAACCTCTCTTCTTGTTCTTGGGCCAAAGCATTTGAGATAATCACCGGTAGAGTGTGATTTTCGCCCAAGAACACATGTTTCAAATTTTCAGGAAGTGGTTTCAATTCCACCTCCGGTGCCTGCAAAACAGATGGTAGCGGCTTCTCGCTCGGAATGGTTAGTGGTAGGGCTTTAGAGCCCGGTGGCAAAAGTGGGAGTTGATTTAACTCCGCCACCATTATCTTCATGTTGTTTGACATAGAGTATTCCATGGTGAAGTCCTCTATGTCGTTTTCAATTGAGCTTAGTAACATGTCTTTCCCCTCAACTTCAAATACATCTTGGACCCAAGTGTCACAAGTATCAATGGCAAAAAGAGAGTGATTATCGGTGGGGTATTTCATGGAGTCGTAGATATTAAATTCAACTTTCTCACCATCAAACTCCATAGTTAATACGCCACTAAAAACATCTATTTTTGCTTTGGCCGTTTTTAGAAAGGGTCTTCCTAACAAAATTGGGACTGCATTTTTATCGTTCTCCATTTCAAGAACATAAAAATCAGCGGGAAAGATTAGGTTATCCACCATGACGAGTACATCCTCCACTACACCTTTTGGGTAAGCGTTGGATCTATCGGCAAGTTGGATAACAACCCCCGTCTCATGTAAAGGGCCTAGCTCTAGGGACTTATATAGAGAGTATGGAATGACATTGATTGATGCACCCAAATCTAACATAGCCCTAGAAGAACTAGAATTTCCAAGTTTACATGGTATAGTGAACATTCCCGGGTCACTATACTTTTTAGGTAGTTTCTTTTGGAAAACGGCTGAAACTCTTTCACTAACTTGGATTTTATGTTTGCCATTTAGTTTGTGTTTCCTTTTAATAGTGCAAAGTTCTTTTAAAAACTTTGCAAACCTAGGAACACCTTTTATCAAATTGAGAAGAGGGATATTTACCTCACATTTGCTAAAGGTCTCATAGATATCTTTGTCATTGGTGTATTTGCGGTTGTCCTTGAGAGCTTCCGGGAAAGGTGGCACCGGCTCGTATGAGTTGAGCGGCGGGAACTTTCTTTGAGGTGTGACTTCCTCCTCCTTCTCCTCTTCATTTTGAGGATTTGTGCTTGGCACCAAGATATCCTCCTCTTCTTCCCCAACATGGCTCTTTGCTTTTGCTTTAGCCATAACCAACTCCTTGCCACTTCTCAAAGTGACCGCGTGAGCTTGCTGCCTTGGATTCGGCTCAGTTTGAGATGGGAGTTTTGCCGAATCCTTAGCTTCAAGCCTACTTACGGCATTTGAGATTTGACTCATTTGGTTTTCCAAATTGTGGATGCTTGATTTGGTTGTTTCTTGGAATTGGGTCACACTTTGTTGCATCGTAGCCATGTTCATGGCAAGTGATCGAATCATGTCTTCGGTGGACATGCTCGAGTTCGATGTTTGACCTTGTTGTTTATATTGTTGAGGGGGAGGGTTTGATTGTTGAGGAGGTTGAGAGTTTCCGTACCTTAGATTGGGATGATCCCTCCACCCCGGGTTGTAAGTGTTGCCATGAGGGTCATATCTTCTTTGACCTTGGAAACCCAAAGCATTGACTTGCTCGGGGTTCTCCTCTTGTAATGTTGGGCAAGAATCGGTGGGATGCCCTTGTGTTGAGCATATGCCGCAGACCTTGACTTCTTGGGTTTTTGGATTCAAAAGAAAATCTTTGACCAAAGAAGTCAAGCCGGCCACTTGACTTTCCAACGAATTGTTGGATTCCGCTGCCATAACTCTTTTTGATGATGACCTCCCATTATAATGCCTCGAGTTTTCGGCCAACTCGGAGATGAGGTCCCTTGCTTGAGAAGGGGTTTTGTTGACAATACCCCCTCCACATGCCGCATTCACCATGCGTCTATCTTGATCAACAAGCCCATCATAGAAGTAGAGGATGAGATCTTGTTCCGAATATCCATGATATGGGCAGCTAGCGCATAATTTTTTAAAGCGCTCCCAATATTCGTACAAGGTCTCATCATCGGCTTGCTCAATGTTGCTGATTTGCTTTTTGAGACTTGAAGAGATAGATGCGGGATAATACCTGTCGAGGAAGCTCTTTTTCATTTGAGCCCATGTATTGATGCTACCCGAGGGAAGATAGAAAAGCCAGTCCTTGGCGGTGTCTTTTAGAGAGAAAGGGAAGGCTCTCAGCTTGATTTGCTCTTCGGACACGCCATTGGGGCACATGCTTGTGCACACAATATGAAATTCCGACAGATGTTTGTTCGGATCTTCCCCCCGTAGGCCATGGAAAGATGGGAGTAGATGGATGAGCCCAGATTTTAGCTCGAATGTGACCCCCGTATCAAGAGTTGGGAAAGTGATACAAAGGGGTTGTTGATTTAGATTCGGAGCCGTGAGCTCCCTTAATGTTCTCGTTTCATGAGCCATGGTGATTGGCTCTTCGGTTTCACTAGATTGAGAACTAGTGCTTGATGATTCTCCCGAGTCGGAGTTTGAAAATTTGTTTTTCAACCGCTCGAGAGTTCGTTCTATTTCGGGGTTTGAGTGGTATGTGATTTCGTTCAGTGAACGATATTTTACCATGTACTACAAAGCTCAGCAGAAATAGAAATCTTTATACTTTGAACCATATATATATTTTTTTTTTTTTTGATTTTTCTTGAAATAAAATAAAAAGAAAAATAATTGCCTTTCCCCGGCAACGGCGCCAAATTTGACGTGCACTTTGTCGTGAGTGCAATCAAAGTAAATTCAATACAACACTTATACGTAGTATAGTGAAGTAGAGTTCGTATCCACAGGGAAAGGAATAATTCTCTTTTTATGAACTAAGTAGATAAAGGGGGGTTTTGTTTGTTGAGTGATTTAATTAATTTAAACACGAAGATGAACGAGTTATATGAGATTAAATTCAAGAATAAAAGGGACTTGGTCTTGCTACTTTCCACTTGTTGATATATTTTAGTCGATCATTGTTATATCCATAACTTGTCCCCTCTCGAATACTCAATCGCGGAGTATATCCAGTTCATCGAGGGTAGTTATTAACAACGACCGTTCATTAATAACCCTTACTATTAATCAAATATAGAACAACGCCGTATACCGATATAATAGTAGCATTTAACCTCTTTAACTCCTTGATGAAATCAATTGAGATTGATAACCTCAACGCAACGGTTTCGGTTTAACCAACAAAATTGATCCCTCTTAAGTTTATTAACCACGACCGTGCATTAACAAACCGAAGTTACTTACTTGTGAAACTATCAACGATTAACCATCGGTTCGTTGATCGTTTCTAGTAATAATCAATGTTGGAACGTTAACTAATCGTCACTTAGCAACCCTCCAACAATGATATAGAATGAGATTAAGGGAAGAATTAATAATCAAGAAGAGAGAGTAAGGAAATAACTCACAACTTTAATAATCAATCAAGCTTCAAGAGCAAAACCAAGAAATGGAAGTTTAGCTCCTCATTTGGAGACTAAACATGCTAAAAGAAATATAAAGAAATGCTATTCTAGACTGAGCTTAAGTATAGGAAAGAAGGGATGATTTTTTGTGAAGAAAAAGTGTGCTATTTATAGGTGTTTTTCAACACCTTTGGCCGGGTACCCGACCGGGTATAGGTACATACCCGACCGGGGTACCGGTCAAAATCAGATTATCTCCCACGATTTCTTGTTTTCTGCACGTTAACTTGTCCGGGTCAAGTCAGACCCGACCGGGTCAAGTAAGGGACCCGCCCGGGTTTGACCAAAATCAGATCTTTTCCAAATCTGCAGCATGTTCTGGTGCTCCGGGTCAAATCTGACCCGACCGGGTCGAGTAAGGGACCCGCCCGGGTCTGTGTTCCTGAGAATTTTTGTCTTCAGCTTTTCTTCCCTTTTGCTTGCTAAAAACTTT